CCATACACACCACTCAACCGTAAACCACCTCACACACACACACACACACACACACACACACACACACACACACACACACACACACACACACACACACACACCTGGGAACAAACCCACTGTTCCTAGTCAGAAGGGAAAAGTGTTACCTTGAAACTTGACGTTGTCACCGTGGAGAGCACAGCGCCACGGTCATAAGCAATAATGTTTTATAATACCAAATATATTCTCTTGCTGGAAAAGTCGTGAACATATTCTGGATATCAGTGGACCAGTGTGACGGGAACCTGGACACCTTGTGGAACCCGTGAACCACGACTAGGTTCACAATGGAAGTCCTCGAGTCCTACTAGATAACTACCATAGCAATTTAAGCATCTTCAGGTACCTATTTTACCACTTCCAAGGAACCAGGTCACATTTCCCACATTTCGAGCCGATACAAATCACATCGAACACAACACGGGTCGCTAACTGACTTCAAAGCTTACCTAACCTTGCCCAAACCAACCTAGTTTGACTGTTGAGCCAAGCTCAACAGTCAAACTTAAGCTAATACATCCTAGCCTAACAAACAGAATACAAGTTTTGACGAATAGTCTTGTGTACGATTCAACCATACCGCTTTCGAACCACTCTGAACACCTTGAGAGTCCTCATTTACCACCGGACCACTGCTATCACAGATTTATTTTTGCGACGATAAGTGAACACTACTCTTGAACCCCTGACAATGTATCTAGCGACCACCCGCACCACTGATAAGATACCTAGAGAACACCTGGACCATTAACAACGTATCTTGTGAACACCTGGACCAATGACGGAGTCTTCATACTCCTGGACCAATGACAGGGAGTCTCCATACTCCTGGACCAATGACAGCGAGTCTTCATACTTCTGGACCAATGACAGGGAGTCTTCATACTCCTGGACCACTGCTTGGCCTCCTAAGATATCAGCTTACCTTCTATGATATTCAATATGGTACCACAGAGAGTGAACCTGACACCACTGGAATAGCTGCACCATTCTTAACATGAGTGGTTCAATGGTGCTCCAGTGGAGTGCCACTGGACCAGTGTTATAGTGGCCTGTTGGGCCGCTGGTGGGACATCCTCTTGCGTGTGTGGGGGCGATCAACAGGCGGATCTGGGGTCACGCAACGTGCATTATGTCGCGACTTGGATCACTGTTTATGTCCTCCAAATCGCTAACATGTGACTCCCATTTACACTCCAACTTCTCTCACCCCTCCTCCCATGTGCACCCTAACCTTCCCCCCCTCCCATGTACACCCCCAACCTTTTCCTCTCCACGCCCATGTACATTCCTAACCTCTCCCTCCTCCCATGTCAACGCCCATCCTTTTTCCTTCCATATGAACCACAGCTCGACTCTCGTGTGACAACCCCACCACTCCTAACTCCCATGCTCGTTCCTCCTCTCACTCTCTTCCTCCCATGTCCAACCTCTCATGCTCACTCCCACCTCTTCCGTGTCCATTTCTGCTCCCTGCCAGCCTCGTCCCCCAGCGCGCACGTCCGCCCTCCCCTGCCGCAGCCATGTCACCTCCGCCGCCGCCGCTCGCCGTCATTACGCTGGCATGCGTAACCATCTCTAACAATTAACTTATTTTCCCTTGAGTTAAATGTGGCCCTGTTGGATTCTGATCGATTCCCTTTCCCACAGCTTCCGGTGTGGCTCTTGTCTCTTCCTCGTACGTTCATCCTATTCCTTTTTCGTGGCTGCCCACGTATCTCCTGACTCCACCCCTCTTTCTTCTCCAGTTGGGAGTCTCAATTACCCTGTCAACTTCCTCCGTCTTCCTCTGCCCCTCCCTCTCGTCTCCGCGACCAGCCAACAAACCACACCTCAGCCATGGTGGCTGTGTTCTTCACGCTGGTCCTTGATCAATTATCCGCAGAGAACCAACACCTCCTGCAACCCTTCTACGTGACCTAAAATGTCTAGCCACATGAACTTGAGGAGGAGGAGGAAGGACGCACATAAAGGAGGAAGAAATATCAAAGGAAACGAGAAAGATTAAGTAGTAGAGCAGGAGTAAGAGGAAGTAGAAGAAGAGAAGAGGAGTAAGGAAGAAGTAGAGGTGAAAGTGTTAGGAAATAGAGGATATGGGATGGGCAGGAGGATGGAGTAAAGCAAACAGTTTTAAAGCAGCCTCAAGTGTGTCACCGTGACACACTTGAGGCCGGGTCAGAAACACGGTGAACACCAGCACTGAAAAACACGGGTAAATTTCCCCAGAGACCATCCCGAGGCTTAATTCGGTTGAAGGTAATCAGAATGGAAAGAGGAAGGAAGGACTGTGGAAGGAAGGACTGTGGAAGGAAGGACTGTGGAAGGAAAGTTATGGAGAATGAAGGGAAAACGTGAAAGAAAAGGAGGCGGCTGATGTAGAAATAGGAAGAATAAACAGAAAGAGATTGAGAAAGAAGAAGGAAAGAAAATTGGAAGATGGTGGAGGAAGCTGGAGACAGGAAGGACCAGGAAGAAATGTAATAAAAAAGTTACTGTAACTTTGGAAGTATTTACTCAAGGCGTCCTCGGGGTCATTCTCGAATAAAGGTGTCCTGATCTACACAAGGCGTCAAACAAAGGTGTCCTGATCTACACAAGGCGTCGAACAAAGGTGTCCTGATCTACACAAGACGTCAAACAAAGGTGTCCTGATCTACACAAGACGTCGAACAAAGGTGTCCTGATCTACACAAGGCGTCAAACAAAGGTGTCCTGATCTACACAAGGCGTCGAACAAAGGTGTCCTGATCTACACAAGACGTCGAACAAAGGTGTCCTGATCTACACAAGGCGTCAAACAAAGGTGTCCTGACTTAAACAAGAACCTAGCGCTCCTTCAGTACCTGCTGTTAACTGCCTTATTGTGATTCTGATTATTTACAGCCGAGATATGTTTCAATTAATGCTTTTAATACTCTCCCCTGTCATTTATGCTCCCTCTTCTGCTCATATATTTTCTCCAATAATTCCTTTATTAAATATCTAGCTGGTTATATTAATAATTTATCATCTTTCAATATTCACATTTCATTTAGAAAACTTACCGAACATAACCATAACTTGCTGGTCATGAACAAATGTTGTAAACTAACAAGGGTTCAGAAAAAATCGAGAGTATTCAGATATGGATGTCCAATAACCATTGCTAATCAGCGAGGAAAGTGTAGGGAAGTGAAGTGTTAAGTGAGCTTGGAAGAATAAGCGAGAATGAGAGAGTCAGTGTTGCAGAGTAAAGAACTCCTAAGCTACACAACACATTGGTATTCCATATTATTCCCAGTCATCTCTGTGATTTAAATAACGAGAATAAAGCAGAGGAAGTAGAAGGAGGAAAGCAGATGAATGAAGGAGCAGGTAGAGAAGGGAGAAGAGGATGAATAAAGGAAGCAGAGACTGCCGAGTCTGTCTGCGTTTCTGTACCCTACTTTTCTCTCCGTCATCCAGGAAGCCCCAAATGAAGGTCCGGCGCCACTAACGACAATGCAAAAACCACACCACCACCACCACCACACACCCTAGAGGCAGGTCAGGCTGTGGAGCGGCCGGGGAAAACATCACATATTGACACCATAAACACTGCCGTCCACCCCTACTAGCGAAGAGGGGGGAGGAGCATCTATCCAAGAGGGAAACTTTCGCCTCACAGCATTAAAAAACGGGGTTTCCCACTCCATTAAGACGAGGAGGTGAAGTGTCATCCTGGAGATGACAGTGAGGTAGTGACGGTGGCAGCGGAGATGACTGCAGATCGATGACGGTGGCTGAGGCCGTGTAAGAGAAAACAAATAACAGAAGCCCTCTTGATCCACCATGAAGCAATCTGGCAGGAAATGAGGGTAGGAATCCGGGTGATCTATGACTCCAATCAAAATATCCTTGTTCTACATGTGTATTGCATCAACGTCCCCCAAAGTTTAATGTTATTGTCTCTTGTTTCTGAATCTACCTACCGAGGTGTACCGCCTCCATAGTATAGTAGAGCGGTGAGTATTTCAAAAAAGTTGATTTCTAATGATGATATATCAGTTTAGTCGCCTTTATTTATCCTCTCTCAAGAGGATAAATATTGTTTATCCCGCTTTGTTATAATTGTTGTTTGTTGTATATAGATGGATGTGAAGGTAAGATGGTGGTGGCTGAGGTGGTGTATATAATGAGGACATGGCCGACATCACCACAAACCCAATAACCCGCAAACAGTACCAAAAATATCAGGGAAAAACACGAATAACACATGAAAATATTTAAATGCACAAAGCAACGTTGTTGGGCAAGAGTGGGAAAACAATTGATTGTGGAGCATGAGGTAAGAGCCGGGTGAAGGCGTTGGGAGGACAGGCAGGTAGAGAGAGCTGTTGCTGCTGCTGCTGCTGCAAGGTCTGGTCTCTGACGGAGGCCCGGCAGGTGGCTCTAACCTTGAGAGGTCTCGGTTTCCTAATGCTCCGAGGTAAGCGGGCCCAGACAGAAGGTCAACTCACTAACGATTAGGCTACTTCATATGAGTATTTAAAACCATTTATGACCATCTTCATGTAACACAATACTTCAATATTTACCCAATCAAACTTAACGCCCAGCAATAGTTTTACAATTTATGTAAACTGTTTCAAGCTTTCAATTCTAAGAAGAAAATTAATATATTTGAACTAAACATAAGCATGCAATAGCTTGCCAAAACAAGTGATTAAGAGTAATATTGAATATACATATACTAATGGAAAAGTAAATTGAACAAGTATTATTTTTTCTTAAAATATAAGCCTCATAATGTTCTCTAAAGTTAATACTTCCTTCTCTCATAACCTGTAGTGAGCCTACTTTCCTTATAAAAAATGCATGTGTAGTTGAGCCTAGCACAACAATCCCTTACTTGAATCAGTAATCTAAGGGTAAAATACTCATAGAACCAGCTGCCAGAGAAGGGAGCAGAGCTGGCAGTACATGAGAGGAGGAGACTATACCTTGCCCGGCGGCGGCTGGTGGAGGTCATCAAGGGTGGGTCTCTGGCCGGTGCCTGGAGCATGCATGATGCTCGCCAAGTTGCGGTAATGGTCCAGTCTTGGCAGTGCTTCTCGGGTCAGCTGACGTAGGGACCGGAATGTGGAGTGGGTACCCGAGTGGGTGCCCGTGTGAGTACCCGTGTGAGTACCCGTGTAGGTGCCCGTGTAGGTATTCGTGTTGGGCGGGTACGTCAGGGAGTCCATCTCCGTGTCTGACGGTGACTGGGCCGGGGAAGCACATCGCTCCTCGGTATCTAAAAAACACGAGAAAGTAAACACACGATGTAATTTGCATTAGCGTTATAATGTGGACATACTTATAATAATCTAAAAAGTACCTTCCTGCCACAACTTTATGCATTACTTTATTAACAGATCATTTTCACCTATTCTACACATTTTCTCATTCTAAACTCCCTCCAACTGCCCCTCAAAATAAGTAGTAATATTCTACACTGTTTTATTTCTTACTCCAATATGTTCATTTCGATCTCTCTACTCAACCCCCAGTCTCTACATTCTACAATAATTTTTACCCTTTCCTTTCATTTTCAACTCATCCCACGGCTCTGACTTTAGACATTTTGATTCACAATGTGATTTTCAAATGTCCCTCTAACTGCTACACACCTATCACAACGTCTAGAAGCCTTACATGTAACTATCCCTCTTCACATGTCACACTAAAAATACCATCAATTAAACTCGTAAAAATTACTCTATAAGAATAAATTATTCTCGGAACAGTTTTCACGAGAGACATCTCCCGTCACGCAGGGTGCAGTCGCACCTCCACAGATCTCCAGAATCAGCTCTTGATACTGCTAATGGCTCAAAAGGGCCACCACTGACGGGCTATTCATGTCCGTGCCACCTTTTGGGTGGCTTAATCTTTATCAATCAATCAATCGGAACAGTTAGTCGCTAGGCCGGTGAATATGCTTTGGCGTTGGACTTGAAGCCTATCTCAGCACTTAAGACAGCTTAGCACTGCATACACCCAGCTGACATTCGCGAGTCGTTGTTACATTGTGCGAAACACAACAGCGGGCTTTCTCTGCGTTTATTTTCACTTTTTTTCAATTCCTCGATTTCTAATGTCACTTTCTAGCACGTGGGTCAGATTTGTCACCGTGACACACTTGAGGCCGGGTCAGAAACACGGTGAACACCACCACTGAAAACACGGGTGAAATTTCCCCAGAGAGACCATCCCGAGGCATAATTCGGTTGAAGGTAATCAGAAGCCGGATGGGAGCTTATCAGAATCCAAACGGAAATGAATCGTAAAAATAATGGACGTTTACCAGCCATAGAGTGAAAACAAAGACATTAATAATAAAAAAAAAAGGAATTTAAACCAGTATTTAATGTAATCACAAAGTGAACACACGTGCAGATCAAACGCAAAACTTAAGACTCAAAGCCCAAAATTAAAACAAGAACGAGTCGAGCGCAAACCAGTTTGAGTTCACAAAAACTGCCGGGGAGCCGTGGTAGAGCAAGATGGACATACAACAGGGAACCAATGTATATTGTGAAGGCTATACTGTAAAATCTAAACCTTTGTATGTATTTGTTTGTGTATTTTCGCAAGTCAATTCGCGAGCAAGAAAGTCCGGGTAGTAGGAGAGTGAATTGGGTCGAGTGCAGGAATAAGTGAGGTGCAGGACGGAGTAGAAGAGGACAGGAGGGAGTTGATTGTGGGAAGGAATTGAATGCAGGAGAGAATTAAGTACAGCATGGAGTTGAGTGCAAGTCATATGCATGAGGGACTGATCGACAAGGTCTGGTAGACCGCAAGTCCGGGAGTCGAGTACAGAGGAGTGGGACGCAGGAGGGAGTAATCGATAAAGTCTGGTAGACCGCAAGAGTGCGGTCCGAGAGTGGAGCGAAAGAGGAAGGGGAGTTCGTGATAAGATCTGGTAGACTGTAACTGGAGGACTCTACAAACATTAGCTCTACTCAATCGGGTTGAAAATTTAGTATCAGCCACTTGACATTATTCAAACACGGTACGCGCAGAGGACGATGTGCGCACGCGCGCGTATACCGAACATCTCAACGACTTAACTGATATACTATAGATGTAATTGAAAGATATTTTACTGACAAAGTAATACAATTTTACACGTAAAATCTGTAATTAATCTTTATATTAAAATCCAGACTAATGAAATGTGAGTACTATTGACTAATAGGTTAGGCCTAAATAAATGGATTACTATCATATATGGGAAATATATATGTTTATCTCTCAGAATGTTTGGTAATACGTTTATTGCTTGTGATGTGTGTCTATGTATGTATTAACACGATGTACTGAACGGGGTGAGAATAGCTTGAACTACCTCATCCCTTTGTGTGTATTTTACCTCAATAAACTTACTTCAATTTCAATCATATATGAATTATATAATTCAGAAATCCAATATTTAAAGTGTACTACAACGTTTCCATTCCCTTCGGAAATGGCTGTTCAGCCACAATGGAACCTGCAACACCTTTTGTGAGGGGCTTTACCTTGGGATAGATTACTTCCTGAAGCAACGCCCACTTTTTTTGGGCTAATACATGTTCTATTCGCTCACCCTCACTATTGGGGCCGGACAGCTGAGCGGACAGCGCTTCGGATTCGTAGTCCTGAGGTTCCGGGTTCGATCCCCGGTGGAGGCGGAAACAAATGGGTAGCGTTTCTTTCACTCTTGATGCCCCTGTTACCTGGCAGTAAATAGGTACCTGGGAGATAGACAGCTGCTATGGGCTGCTTCCTGGGGAGGGGGGGGGGGTAAAACAAAGGAGGCCTGGCCGAGGACTGGGCCGCGGGGACGCTAAGCCCCGAAATCATCTCAAGATAACCCGTGTATCGAGTTTCCTATGCGAGTAAGAGTGCGAGCAGTAGGCATGCTACTCAACCTGTCTTCTCGGATAATACATCACATTTTGATTTCAAAATTCGAAAACGGACAAAATATGATGTACTACAAATCACAGCAGCTCACCAGCAACCACGTTTTCTATGCGTGACTCAATCTGTTACGTTAGGTTCGGGCAATGTTTACAGCATTTTTGGTGACGTGACAACTCTATAGAGGACGGGTGATGCTAGTATGGTGTAAGGAAAATGGGAGAAGCATGACAATATACGAAGAATATAGATGACAGGCTCAGCTGTCACTTAAATGTCACCAAATATCACCTTTTACTTTGCATCACCAACTATCGACTTGTTTTATACCTTTCGTCACCAAGTTCTGCCTCGCTCAACTTTGCTTCACAAGAATGAAAGGATTCAGTCAAATGAGTCTTGAACAATGAGGATTGATATGCTCGTAATGTACAAATAAAACAAATAAGTAACTTACTAAGATTAAGAATATAAAGAAAAAATAGGTAAGGAAGCTTGAATGGTCCCTATGAATCTCTTGGGAAACTATGACCCAACCAAGATTCGAACCTGCACTTCCTGGGCTTCCATAACCACTTCAATCGTTGGGGAAGTGGTTATGGTATTGTGTATGCCAGGGGTGAGCCCTGGAAATGCAGGTTCGAACCTTGGTCGGGAGTCGACCAAGATTCGACCGTGTGTGTGTGTGTGTGTGTGTGTGTGTGTGTGTGTGTGTGTGTTTGTGTGTGTGTGTGTGCGTGCGTGTGCGTGTGCGTGTGTGCGTGTGTGCGTGCGTGCGCACGGGCGTGTACCATTAATTAGCATATCCAATAGTGTACTTGAAATATAATGAGCATGCACTATATTGCAATACAAAACACATGGAAACTAGATTTACACAGAATATAAAATATTAATTGAAAATATAAAGATATTATTAAGCGTATACAGTAATTTTATAAGAAAACGAACATGAAAACAAATATTGCATTTGCAAACCAAGAAAATCACAAGCATACAATCATAAATATAACAAGAAACCTTAACTAAGAAATAACAAAACCAAATAAAATAATTTGACAGTTAAACTATATTAATGAAACCAATATAACACGAATAGTTGACTACTGACGTTAACAATATGGAAGCAAGTTGACCAGACCACACACTAGAAGTTGAAGGGACGACGACGTTTCGGACCGAAACGTCGTCGTCCCTTCAACTTCAGTGTGTGGTCTGGTCAACATACTTTAGCCACGTTATTGTGACTCATCGCCTGCATATGGAAGCAATAAAAACAAAACAAATATTAGCTTTATATATACATAACTTTTGGTACCAAGAAGATATTATTTGGAAAAGAAATGATTCTGTTGTGGAGGCCGGATAAGAAAAGGAGAATAAGATAGTACAGATCCGGCGGAAAGAAAAAAAAAAGAGTTCATGACTGAATCAACTCGAGGGCATATCAAATGCTGGAAAGCAATTATTCTAGTATTGCCATTTCTCTTATTTCAAGATCCTGCTTTTCGCCCAGCTTTAACCACAATATCACCGGAAGAATGTCCGACAGCGGCTGTGGGTAACATGTGAATCTAGCCTGACTCTCCCCGCCTCACCTCTACTGTAGGTCAACGTGGTGGCAATGTAACGGGGCTGGCCTACTCTGGGATATTTGTCCTCCATGTAAAGGTTGAGTAAACGTCTGATCTGCTTCCCCCACTGTCAACTAACCTTTAGAAAAGGCATCTTGCTAAACTGCGCGTATTTGGGGACAGATTTTACTTACATTCTCAGCGCGTAATTTTGTATTCAGGAAATGCCTCACCACAGACAAATACCCCAGAAAAGTTATGTGCCGTTATCCATAGCCTCAGAATGCAGTCGCAGACATACTGAAGTACTGTATGGACTTGGTCATCGCTGCCACTTTATTTGAATAGGATAATAGGTCATTGTTCATTGAACTAAAAATACGACCATAGAGAAGCAAGTACTTTAACAAGGATAGGGGCTTGGGCCATTAGTACCTATACAAGTCATTTGGTCACTGGGCAACCAGCCATGCGGGATAGAGATGACAGAGCAGAGAAGTAGCAGTCTGTAGTATGAAAAGTAGACAGATTCACCCTCTACTTTGAGATTGCAATCCGCCTAGTACAATATTCAAAATAAGTAGAATTGGTTAAACGAAGAAGTGGTTACAGCTAACTCAGTATATAATTGTAAAAGTAAATACTGCATAATAAGAAAAAGGAAAACTGTTATTGTATGTGACTACAAAATGTTCAAAAAGTGGGTCCAGGAATCGCAACTCTACTTTACAAGCACAACTGGCAGACAGATGTATTATTCAGAAGGCCTTGATCTCATTCAGATATGATTTAGCGAAGCAGAGAGAAAAAGAGCTGGAATAGGAATGGAAATCTTGCCTAAAAACATGGGAAAGTATTACTGTGCCAGATGATTGGAAACGAACTAGGGAAAGAACATGACACATGAAAAATAAAGGGGGCGGTTGAATTTGAAGAAGTTAATACGAAGCTGGTAAGTTTGGGGCAGATCTCAGAACATCTCTACTAAGCCAGCCAAAATAAAGAGCTAGGCTAGGATGCCAAAACTATCAGTTTCTAAGCGTCATATGACAAAAAATATTGGGAAGATGGGACACGGCGAGCGTAGCTCTCATCCTGTAACTACACTTAGGTAATCGCCCCACAAGTTATGGAGGTGAAAAGAGGCTGGCGGAACAATAAACAATGACAAGGAGGAACCTACCATTCTCAAGTAAAATAAAAGAACCTGGGAGAACATAATGACATACCTATCACAGTAAACAAAGGTATAATGATTGACACATGTCGCCTTCAAAATGCTATTAACAACATCCTGCCTATGCTAGAAAAACTCAAATATAAATGCACAAACGAAAAAATGAATAAGAACAGAGGTATGGTACAAGTTCCAGAACTGAAATCCATAAGCTAGGAGGCAGGATTGAAGGAGTAACACTAAATGTCATTTGGAGAAAGGAGACACTGGTAAACCTGATCCAGACTTACAAAAATGCATATAATGGTATAGACTTACTAAATACACACACAATGTTTAAGTTTCGAAGAAAAAGAATTATAGAAAATGCGTAAAAGCTTGATAAGCAGATAAGTCACATGAAAGTCAGGAAGAACTTGTGTAGTGTAATTGTATTAACTAAACGGAATTAATTTGGTGGGCATTAATAGCAAGGTACATAATCCAGTTTCAAAAACAAATACGACATGGGATGAGAGTTTAGAGTTACTGAATTAATCGACCAATGGTCGGTAAGAAGGGTGGGTAACCTTGGTCTTGGAAACTGTTAGGCAAGAATGCTCACACACTCATGTGTGCACACACTCTAGTTGAATATATATATATATATATATATATATATATATATATATATATATATATATATATATATATATATATCCGAAGAGCTGGATGAGTCTTCGAACAGTGATTGTTATGTGCGTGTGTTTTCTGTAAACTGCAACACAATGTAATATATAAAATAAATAAAAAATATAAAAAATAAAATATAAAAAGAGCAGGAGTGGTAGGAGAGAAAAATATTATTAGTGTTCGGCGAGCATCCACAAGGTCTTCTCAGAATACTCTTTATTTTCTTCTTCGAGGCTATGGGTCCCTACATTTGCACCAGAGGTGGTACCCATATTACAGTGTATTTAAAGGCTATCAGTTGCGAACAAAAAAAAAACTTGCGCATTCGACAAGAAATGTGTGCTACGCCTGTGTTTCAATTAAATGCCTAATATAATATAGGTAAAGTAGACCAACCAATAAGCAATACTGTACAGTATTAAGAACTTACTAAGATAAAGGTAAGATAATCTATTTAAATTAATCTAAAATCACAACCGTGCTGTAGTTGCACTCCCAGTATCAGAACATTCAATCAATAATGTGTCCAGTGTCTAACTTGAACTGGATTAAAAAGAAATACAATTGATCTCGCATTACAAAATATATCTTGAACCTAACCTAGACAACAAAACAATCAAGTAAGGCAGATTTACAAAACCCTTTTTACAAAAAAATCATGATAATTCTGGCAAACAGCACGTTCAATACAGACGATTTGTCACAACACAGCAAGCAACGAGATGACTTGGAGGCGACTCAGATATGCAGGCAGCGAGCGAGCTTAGTTGTCAAGGGTGGCATGGTTATTAAGACAAACTTATAGGCTGTTAGGGAAGCTGGATGGTGTTAGCAACCTCTGGCGTGTCCAGGTACGCGGTGGAGGTTGCCTATCTTGCCATTCCACCAGTAGACTAGTCGCTACGGTTGGCAGGATAGTCGAATATCCTGCCAACTGGCAGGAATAGTGTGGCAATGAATAGTCTTATGAATAGTGTGGCAAAATTTGTCAATTATGGTTAGCGGGATGATTAGCTAGTATGGGTGAGATAGTAGTTAGTCTAGCTGGGATAACGTAATTAGTATGGGCGGGATAGTAATTAGTGTGAGAGGGATAATAAGCTAGGTTGGCGGGATAATAGGCCAATATGGGTAGGATAGTTGGCTAGTATGGCCTGGAGAGTAGGCTTGTGTGGGATAGCAAACTACTACGAGAGGGATAGTTTAGGCAAGGGTTGACGGGATAAGCTAGTAGTGACAGGATCAACCAGGCGTTGGACGGCCGGGTTACTTGATTAGTATTGATCCTTGAGAAGTTGACTGGCAAGTTAAAACGGTGAGATGAACTAGCGTGTTGGGATAGTAAAGAATGTGAGCTACCATGCAGATAATGCACTAAGATGAATAACATGTTAGGATAGTCAAGGTTGTAAGCTACCAAGCAGATAATGTACTAGGACAAGTGAGCAAATAATTAAATTAAAAATAAGGGGGCGAGAAATCACGACGAGGCAACCTGCCCGGCTAGAAAGATGGTTGGCAAGCCGGTAACTAGAACACTGACAATACAGTAGATTAATGCAAGATATAGTCGATAAATGTTACACGGAGATAAAATAAGATGGAAAAAACACAAAATGATACAGCATACTAGATGGAAAATGAATAGGAAGGTTAGCATGCCAAGTCGAGAGTTAGCAGGGCAGAAGTGAGAAGATGGTTAGCAAAGCAAGAGCTATGCTATGGGGGGCTGGTTAGTGTGTTAGTAACCTTGGGAGGGAAGAACCTGAGGCCCGTGATTGTTGGCGTCAACTGCTGCGTTCAGCTGCTGCTGCTGCTGCTCCTGCGTGTCCACCCGGTTGACATGGAACAATTTCCTGTCCCCGCTCACCACTGGCTTCATCTTGGCTCCGGCTTCGGAAACACCACACACTACCACTGTACAGCGGTGCCGTGCAGAGTAAAATCTTTTCGTCGGTAAAACTTACATACAATACCTACGATGTATTGCTAGCAAGGAAGTATTTAAAGGTGTCAATGCAATTTAGTAACACGTGCCTGTATGGACATGACAGTTGCACATAGTTCGTGGCTGCTTTCCTCTCTAGAATCATAGAGACTTGGTAAAGCCAGCCACAAAACTATTTTTTGTTCCAGAGATCACATCTCCGCCTCATCGATTATCTTGTTTCAAACACGCGGATCAAGGCTGGTAATTCGTTCCACTCATCTGTTCCAAATACATTATTATACCTCCAGAAGTACCGAGAACAACAAATACAATAACGTTTTGACGACTTTTCTATCCGTAGCTTCTCCATAACTCTTAAACTGACCAATTTCTGTGTGGTTACCTTCGGTATCCGAAAGCTGAATCATCTTGATGGCGAGAAACGGGACGCACTACCGTCCTGCGCACGGGTCTTGTGTGTACTAAACCCCGGCCACACCACCTCAACCTTATATACCCCATCCCCCCCCCAGTTTCCCCATAACCCCCCCCCCAGGAGCTCCTCCCCATCACCCCCCTTAGGAGAACCTCCCCATAACCCCCCCAGGAGCACTCCCCCATCACCCGGGGGACGGACCGACCACGAGGCTTCGAGGAAATTGCATAATTGACGTATTCCTCGAATAGTACATTCTTTCAAACCCATATCTTCCCGCTGAGATATATAATAAAGTGTCTTGGATGTTCACACACGTCGACTACTACACACTGTGCATTTCATTTCTATTTTTAAAAGGGTTTTGGATGAATGAACGAAAGTAGGATGGAAAGTATTATTCTCTCTGATATTTCAGTATTCGTCGAGGTAAAGTGAAATTTCTAAGGAGCCTAAAGGCTTACTATGGTGTCTCTCTGGGAAGGTAAATAACATGAATCTTAATGTTACATATAACACGTGCAGAACATGTCATGGTACTATAGCTGAGACAAATAGCTCAAATCACACGCAAGAAATGAAATGAAAGTAACGTTCTCTGGTCGGTGCTGGACTCTCTTTTTTTCGGTCACTTCCGTCACGACTCGGTCGGTCCCAGACGGTCTCTGTCCCAGACGGTCTCGGTCCCAGACGGTCTTGGTCAAAGACGGACCGAAACGTCATTTTCATTTCAAATGTGTGAGTTGGTTTATTAAATATTTGACACGTTTGTTTACTAATTTATTGTGTAAAGTGTAAGATCATGAACACCTACAGAAGGTGATCGTAGTGCTTTTAAAATGTTAGGCTAAGCTACATACGTAAATACATAGATACACAGATTTATGAATGTATTAATGTGAATTTATAATGGTGAAATGTAATTCTGATCAGCTTTATACTTTATACACATACATACACACACATACATACATACACATATATTTGTCTCTTTTACTCTGACAGGGTGAGATAGCTGACAAGAGAAATCTTTCATATGAAGAAAGATTAACAAAGCTTAAGTTGCATTCACTGGAAAGGCGAAGAGTTAGGGGTGACATGATAGAGGTTTACAAGTGGATGAATGGACATAACCGGGGGGATATTAATAGGGTATTAAAAGTATCAACACAGGACAGAACACGAAACAATGGATATAAATTGGATAAGTTTAGATTTAGGAAAGACTTGGGTAAATACTGGTTCAGTAACAGGGTTGTTGATTTGTGGAACCAATTGCCGCGTAACATTGTGGAGGTGGGGTCCCTCGATTGTTTCAAGCACGGGTTGGACAAGTATATGAGTGGGATTGGGTGGTTATAGAATAGGAGCTGCCTCGTATGGGCCAATAGGCCTTCTGCAGTTACCTTTGTTCTTATGTTCTTATGTTCTTAAGAGAAACTAGTGTGCAATTAAGAACTTAACCACTGAAGGTGATTAAGATGCTTTTACAAGCTCAGGTTATATAGTTACATTATATGGTTAATCTAGGGTACAAGTCCAATATATCATCAAGTGTTCCAGTACTCATATAGTAGTTACAGATGTTAATAACATATGGCAAACAGCATCTACTGCATGAAGTCTGTTTAAGTTTTTTGTACCCTCTATAATCCTATAATATACGCTATTGTTCACAGGATGAGTGCTCGCGGTGCACAATAAAGCAACCCCCGCTGGCGGCAACACTGAAAATAAAACATTGCCAAAGAACCTGTTATGATCCTGGTCATAATCCTTGCATTCTTGGGGGCTCTTCATATGAGTAATTTCAAGACTATTGCCATTACTCAGTGGTAGATTTTCATGCTATGGGTTTGTTTTATAAAGTGGATTTTTTAGTTTAACTGTAGTTCCCTGGCATTGCCATTTCGATTTTGCAACTGGTTAATATATATGTCGTTTATTATGTTACCCGCTAATCTGTTCCCACAAATCATCAACCCTGTTTTCAAACCAGTATTTACCCAGGTCCTTTCTATAAATCTAAACTTATAAAGTTGATATCCTTTGTTTCGTGTTCTATTTATTTTGATATATGTAATAGGATATTAATATATCTCTCTTATGCTCATTTATCCACTTTTTTTATTATTATTAATATATGAGATACATCTGCATTAGTGTAGCTACCCTAGACTATATGAAGTGGAGTACAGTGTGTCAAAAAAGCTAACTAGGTGCATTTATCCACGTGTACACTTCAATCATGCCAACCTACGCTTGCAACAACCCAGCGATCACACGTCTGGTATGTTAGCGTTAACATTTTCCTGTTATATTGCTACACTCAGTGTGTTGCCTTATAAGGCTCTTACACCCTGTTCTACCATCTTATGCTACCGATCCGTCACAATATATATGTATGTTGACAAGACCACACACTAGAAGGTGAAGGGACGACGACGTTTCGGTCCATCCTGGACCATTCTCAAGTCGATTGAGAATGATCCAGGACGGATCGAAACGTCGTCGTCCCTTCACCTTCTAGTGTGTGGTCTGGTCAACATACTTTAGTCACGTTATTGTGACTCATCGCCTGCATATATATGTATGATTCCCTGTAATCTGTTCCACAAACCGAGAGATCATGCCTCAATATAAATAACATTGACCTGCCTTGGAAAATCCCAAAGCAGAAGCTATCAAAATTAATTCTTTGCCAAACACATTGAGAGAGAGAGTCGCTGGATTCTTGGAAAGACCTCAGAAAGAATTTTATATATGAACATAAGAATATAGGAAACTCCAGCAGGTCTACCCAGTTACAGCCCCGTTCCTGTGCCAGTGAAGTCCACTACGGGCTCACCATAGCCCGTTCTACTTGTAACTTTTTGTTCCCAACAGCTGAATTTTAGAACAACAATAATCCAGTTCTATTGGTCGCTCCTGTGTATACCTAACCATTTGGGATGATTGATTGATAAAGATTAAGTCACCCAAGAGTTGGCACGGGCATGAATAGCCCGTAAAACCATTGGGGATGTTACGTATGAATCAGATAATACGCGGGATGAAGTATTAATGGCAATTAAATTTGGGAAATCTACAGTACCTGGGGATGATGGTGTAACTTACGAAATACTAAATGTCATTGAGAAAAGCCTACTGTTAAAACTACTTAACATTAGCCATGGAAAAAAGGCAAGATTTCCAGTAAATGAAAAGGGCTATCATCATCCTTATCCCTAAAGTTAATGGAGGGTATAGACTGCATCCTTAAACGCGTTTTTAATAATGGGATAGATAATTTGAAATGGACTTTTATATCTGGTAGTAAATAAAATATTTAGCAATTTGTTTGGAATCCTCATAGACAAAAATGCTTCTGAGTGTATTACAAAATGTTTATCTAATGAAAAGGTGACTGTCGAGTATTTATTGACTTACAAGAAGCCTTAAATTAGGCGAGCAAAGAAGTCATCTTAATGAACCAGTTAGTTTTGGCGTTAAGTGAAGGTAATTACACTTGATAGGTGATTGTCTTCACGGAAAAAGGCTCAAATGTGGTATCAAACGTGTATTTTAAATGTAATATATTTTGAACTCGCCAAACCTCTAGGAGAAGTGTTTAATATATTAATGAATAGGATGACTTCCAAAACATACTCCTATGGAATAACTCCAATCATATAAGTAATGATATTTTGTTTCAGGGTAAAAATATTATATATATTTCAATGTTTAAAAACTTCAGTTATGTCACAGTATGCGACTGGTGGTTAGCGAAGACAGAATCAAATTATTATTATACTGTAGTTGTTACTAGAATAAATAATACATTAAGATAGTAGTGTAAAGTGCAACAAGAGAGGATATAAGAAAACCATTAGACAATGTAAACAAATGAATTGCCCTGAAAGGATGTACATCATTACATAGGAAACAATTAACACCACCATCAAGAACCACGGGAAGAATAAGACGCAGTGGTGAAGAATGTGAACCTCCAAAACAAAGGAGTATATACTATCCTGAACAGTTGAAGGTACAACAAAATATAATAATTAAAAAAATACCTAATTTGTGATGGCTCGGTAGATAGGGATGGAAAGGCAGGACGTAGAGTCTTGATTATGGAGTACAGTGACATCCACACTACATACTGTGCTGGGCATCTTTTAACTGTCAGAAAGAATATAACATAAGAATTAAGGAAACTGCAGACGGCCTATTGGTTTACATATGGCATCTCATATTTATATCGACCCAAACTGATTCCTATATCTAACCTACGCTTTAAACTCCCACGTCTATTATGTTACCTGGTAATCTGTTCCACAAATCACTATCCCGATTTGCAAACCAGTGTTTACCCAGGTCTTTCCCAAACTTATACTATTTTTATTTGTTTCGTTTTCAGTGTTGTGTTGATATATTTAATATCTTAATAATATTCCCTTGTGCCCATTTATCCATTTGTACACTTAAATCATTACACCCCTAACACTTCGCCTTTCCAGACACTAATGTAAATTTAGTTTTTTCTTTGTCTTCGTATGAAAGGTTTCTAATTTGTGGGATTAAATTTGTCATCCTTCCCTGAACGCGCTCAGGTGAATTTGTCCATTCTATAGTATGTCGACCAAGATTGATTTGTATAATCTAAATGGGGTCTAACAAGAGCAAAATACAGCTGAAGAATAACATTGTTTTATTGCTAACACATCTCTAAAATATTATTTTCCCGTGATGGTTTCTCAATATGTTGTTTAAGGAAGCGATCTTTAATTAACTCTAACAAATCTTCTGCTTCGGTATTGCCTGTTTTCAGAATTAACAAAAATTGCCTGTTTTGTTAATCCAGTTTATTCCACTATAATTAAAGTCACCCATAGCACAAACGTTGTTTGACCGAGAGATGCTCTAGAATATAAATATATTAAGATCCTTTCACTCTCG